TTAATCTTGGATATTGTTATGATGAAGGAATTGGAACCACTCAAGATTACGAGAAAGCATTTCAATGGTATCTCAAATCTGCTGAAGGTGGAAATACCAGTGGACAATTTAATCTTGGATATTGTTATCACTTTGGAATTGGAATCACACAAGATTACGAGAAAGCATTTCAATGGTACCTGAAATCAGCTGAAGGTGGAAATACCAGTGGACAATGTAATCTTGGATATTTTTATCGTAATGGAATTGGAATCACTCAAGACTACAAGAAAGCATTTCAATGGTATCTGAAATCTGCTGAAGGTGGAAACACCGACGGACAATTTAATCTTGGATATTGTTATGATGAAGGAATTGGAACCATACAAGATTACGAGATAGCATTTCAATGGTACCTGAAATCAGCTGAAGGTGGAAATGCCAGTGGACAATGTAATCTTGGATATTGTTATCGTAATGGAATTGGAATCACTCAAGACTACAATAAAGCATTTCAATGGTATCTGAAATCTGCTGAAGGTGGAAACACTGACGGACAATTTAATCTTGGATATTGTTATGATGAAGGTATTGGAACTACTCACGACTACAAGCAAGCATTTCAATGGTACCTGAAATCTGCTGAAGGTGGGAACACCGACGGACAATTTAATCTTGGATATTGTTATGATGAAGGAATTGGCACCACTCAAGACTACAAGAAAGCATTTCAATGGTACCTGAAATCAGCTGAAGGTGGAAATGCCGATGGGCAATGTAATCTTGGATATTTTTATCGTAATGGAATTGGAACTACTCAAGATTATGAGAAAGCATTTCAATTGTACCTGAAATCTGCTGAAGGTGGAAATGCCGGAGGACAACTTAATTTTGGATATTGCTATCAATATGGAATTGGAACTACTCAAGACTACGAGAAAGCATTTCAATTGTACCTAAAATCTGCTGAAGGTGGAAATGCCGGTGGACAATTTAATCTTGGATATTGTTATCACTTTGGAATTAGAACTACTAAAGACTACGAAAAAGCATTTCAATGGTATCTGAAATCTGCTGAAGGTGGAAATACAAATGGACAAAGTAATCTTGGATGTTGTTATCAATATGGAATTGGAACCACTAAAGACTACAAGAAAGCATTTCAATGGTACCTGAAATCTGCTGAAGGTGGAAATTCCGGAAGACAATCTAATCTTGGAGATTGTTATCGTAATGGAATTGGAACTACTCAAGACTACGAGAAAGCATTTCAATGGTACTTGAAATCTGCTGAAGGTGGAAATACCAATGGACAATTTAATCTTGGAGATTGTTATAAATATGGAATTGGAACTACTCAAGACTACAAGAAAGCATTTCAATGGTATCTGAAATCTGCTGAAGGTGGAAATTCCGACGGACAATGTAATCTTGGATATTGTTATCATAATGGAATTGGAACTACTCAAGACTACAAGAAAGCATTTCAATGGTACCTAAAATCTACTGAAGGTGGAAATGCCAATGGACAATGTAATCTTGGATATTGTTATCACTTAGGAATTGGAACTACTCAAGACTACAAGAAAGCATTTCAATGGTACCTGAAATCTGCTGAAGGTGGAGATGCTGATGGACAATTTAATCTTGGATATTGTTATCGTAATGGAATTGGAACCATGATAAATGAAGAGAAAGCAGAATATTGGTTTGATAAGTCCAGAATGTAGATTATTCTAAAGTGCGTGCATAATACTTTTTGTATTTTTATGTACGCCTTTATTGTAAAAGATTTTTTTAATAAATTAAAAATAAACTTAAGAAAGATACAATATTAATTGAATTAATTTAAAGTTAAGTAAAGCAGTCAAGTACCGCTAATTATTACCTGAATCTTGGTGTTAGAATATAAAAAATTTTACAAGTTACGTTTTCCCAGGATCTAATCGCAAATAAATAATAAAATAAGGTTTAGACTAATTATTGAACTAAAGAAAGATTTAAGACAAGACTCATGCATATTTTATAAATCCAAAAAAATAAAACGATGATAAAAAGAAAATGGAACTATATAGATCCGGAAAGAAAGAAAAAATAGACGCTTCTATAAGTGCTAAATAATAATTTAGAAATCAATTATTTTAACAAAATTAAAGTAATGGGAAATATCAGACTCTAAGGATCCGTCAAATAAAAAATAGGGTGTAAGTGTAAATATAAAAAAATCATAATATTTTTTTTTTTTTGCAAATACAACAGTGTCTCGAAATTGTTTGAGAAAAAAATTTTTTTAATTAAATATAAATAATTAAAAAAATTATATATTTAAATATAAAACAGGGTTTGAAAAAATCATATTTACATTTTACTAAAATTTAAAATTTATTTATTTTGGCAAACATTAAATACAAGAATTTTTATTAAACTTTTGTTTGATTTCATTGCAATATGTCAAATAAATTAATCAAGAATAATTATTAATTATACTACTACTTATACAAATTATACATGTGTGCTTGTTAGGGCTATGTAACCATATAATCAAAGAGAATATAAACAAAAAGTCGATTAAAATTTAGATCAAAAATATATATTATAAAATAATTATTTCATAATACTTATAAATAAGCTTGTTAAAGATAAATATTATTTATAATAAGTACTTGATAGTACGACGCCGGAATTTGAAAAAGTGTACAGGTCGAGAATCTTGTTCCAACCACGCTTCACATTTAATTTGTGTGCTTTGAAACCAAAATCAAATTCGTTGAATGAATATATCCTTTGAAGAAAGCATCAGGGTGATGAGTAGAATAGATGGAATAATAAATAATTGCAATTGGAATCACGAGTTCATTTGGTAGATGTAAAACGCTTCTCGAACCATTTTCAGTTAGTGCGTTATATTGATGCCTAGGTAGATTTTTTGCTGAAGTTTAGGCCATTAGGAACTGTAACTGCATTTTTCATTTTACTTAAATACTTGTGATGGAAAGCATTCCTTTAACTTGACATTAGACATAATAAGAAAAATAATAATAATAACTACATCTTCGATTACATTTTCAACCTTTCGTCCTCCCCTCTCTCATCTCGCCATTTTTCACCTTTGAAGAACACAATCACCAACAACGAGGTGCATAATACGTTCACACCCGAGGCAAGGGTAAACAGCAACCCTATGTTTATCAGCTTGTATATCGGTGAAGCAAACCCTAATATTATTCCTCCGAGCAGAAAGCTTGTTAAATTTTTTAACGCTATTGCCGAAGAACTTTTGGTGGGATTTATGTCTATTAGATAAGTTGAGTTTACGATTAGCACCCAGTGAATTGCGAATCCTCCTTATTACCGGGAATATATTATAAGTGCATATGTTTTTAAAAGAAAAATCGGTTTTATTATTGATTCTTATTTAGCAAACAGTATATTAATATTTTTTTTATTTTTTCAAAATATATGCGGAGGAAAAGCTTCTCACCAAGATACATTGCACCAATCGGAATAAAAATGGGCCATTTTTCTAGAAGAGACCAGCCGAATAATGGAAAAGCTAGCGGGGTCAACACAACACCAAACCAAATACTGTGTAATCTCATCTCCGCACGAAAAATTTCATCATCGTTAGGCGATTTTGACTTCCTTAGTTTAAGGTCCGAGTGCAT